GCAGTCTCTGACCGTCTCCTGTATCCTGTCCGCAGTCTTTGACCATCTCCTGTATCCTGTCCGCAGTCTCTGACCATCTCTTGTATCACGTCCGCAGTCTCTGACCGTCTCCTATATCCTGTTCGCAGTCTCTGATCGTCTCCTGTATCCTGTCCGCAGTCTCTGACCATCTCTTGTATCACGTCCGCAGTCTCTGACCGTCTCCTGTATCTTGTCCACAGTCTCTGACTGACGTTTCCTATATCCTTCCGCAGTCTCTGATCATCTCCTGTATCCTGTCCGCAGTCTCTGATCGTCTGCTGTATCCTGTCCGCAGTCTCTGATCGTCTGCTGTATCCTGTCCGCAGTCTTTGACCATCTCCTGTATCCTGTCCGCAGTCTCTGACCATCTCCTGTATTATAGCTGCAGTCTCTGACCTTCTCCTGTAGTATGTCCGCAGTCTCTGACCATCTCCTGTATTATACCTGCAGTCTCTGACCATCTCCTGTATCATGTCCGCAATCTCTGACCAAGGTGGGTCCTCAAGAGGAAGGCGGGGGGTTATAGATGAAGAGGTGGATCTTAAACAGGAAGAAGTGGGACAAATTTAGATGGTGGGGGGGGGGGGGGTGATCTTAGTCTAGCCAAGCACAAAACCAAAATACACCACTGTTTCTGCCACTGATACAAGGTACTATCCCCCTCGACACCATCAATGGTGCACAATTCTTCCCCCTGACATCAGGGCACTATTCCTCCCACTGACACCAATGATGGGGCACTATTCCTCCCACTGATACCAGTGATGGGGCACTATTCCTCCCACTGATACCAATAATGGGGCACTATTCCTCCCACTGATACCAATGATGGGGCACTATTACTCCCACTGATACCAATGATGGGGCACTATTCCTCCCACTGATACCAATGATGGGGCACTATTCCTCCCACTGATACCAATGATGGGGCACTATTCCTCCCACTGATACCAATGATGGGGCACTTTTCCTACCACTGACACCAATGATGGGGGGTACTATTCCTCCCACTGATACCAATGGCGGGGCACTATTCCTCCACTGATACCAATGATGGGGCACTATTCCTCCACTGATACCAATGATGGGGCACTATTCCTCCCACTGATACCAATGATGGGGCACTATTCCTCCCACTTTATACCAATGATGGGGCACTATTCCTCCCACTGATACCAATGATGGGGCACTTTTCCTACCACTGACACCAATGATGGGGCACTATTCCTCCACTGATACCAATGATGGGGCACTATTCCTCCACTGATACCAATGATGGGGCACTATTCCTCCCACTGATACCAATGATGGGGCACTATTCCTCCCACTTATACCAATGGTGGGGCATTGTTTACTCCTAGGGCATTTTCTACTCATACTGGCCACAGTCGGCCCAAAAGACTGAAGGACAGTAAACTGGTCCTCTCTTTGGAGAGTTTGAAGCTCCTTGTCTTAACCGGATAATTGCTTCATCCTATATGGATGCAATTAATTGCAAAAATTTCAATGACTCTTCACTTGCTTCTGTTTGACAGATAGGGGACCACGTTCTGTGTTTTTCCTTAATGCTACCAAGAGGCTTTCATGTCCTCAGATATAAAAAGATACATTATTTTCCCGGACATGTCAATAGGTAGAGTGCTTTTTTGATCTCAGATTTGTATTGCAACAGAAGTGCAACCTTAATGAACCCAGTTTCCATTGACCAACCGAGGGTAAGTGTATCGAATAATCGTTTCTGAAGATGTTGTCCCTTCTCTGCCACTCTTTCCTTTTTACACTTAATTAAGATAATCAATTGGAAGCAGAAAAAAAATCTCAATTTTAGGTCAAGCACAAAGGATGTTTTGTGCAGTTTTTTCTTTCTAGTGCTTTGGTCACATAATACCTTCCTAGTGAGACAAAGAACAAATCCAGGACATGCAGTGATGTAAGACAGGTACCTTTTATTTTATCAACTCAACAGTTTGCCCTACATTTAGACAACATATTCATTTCTGCTGTATTAATGAAAAACCATCATCTCACTTATTGTTTGATATGAAACTAATGAGCTTTGGTAAGTACACACTGGGGGGGTCAGTTTGGTTATTTTAAAGGGAACTTTGCCTCTCAGTGACATGGTCTGCCTAAGGTGCCCCACCCCTTCCTAAAATGCTGGATCAAGGTGCAGAAAAAAAAAATGGAGGGGATATATAGATAATATACTTTCCTGGCTTCCTCTCATTGTGCCTAGACCAGTGGTTCTCAACCTTCCTAATGCCGCGACCCTTTAATACAGTTCCTCATGTTGTGGTGACCCCCAACCATAAAATTATTTTCGTTGCTACTTCATAACTGTAATTTTGCAGTGAGAGGAGTAGTGCCACATCACTGATGTCAGTGGGAGGAATAGTGTCCCATCATTGGTGTCAGTGGGAGGAATAGTGTCCCATCATTGGAATCAGTGGGAGGAATAGTGCCCCATCATTGGAATCAGTGGGAGGAATAGTGCCCCATTATTGGTGTCAGTGGGAGGAATAGTGCCCCATCATTGGTATCAGTGGGAGGAATAGTGCCCCATCATTGGTGTCAGTGGGAGGAATAGTGCCCCATCATTGGAATCAGTGGGAGGAATAGTGCCCCATCATTGGAATCAGTGGGAGGAATAGTGCCCCATCATTGGTATCAGTGGGAGGAATAGTGTCCCATCATTGGTGTCAGTGGGAGGAATAGTGTCCCATCATTGGTGTCAGTGGGAGGAATAGTGCCCCATCATTGGTATCAGTGGGAGGAATAGTGCCCCATCATTGGTGTCAGTGGGAGGAATAGTGCCCCATCATTGGAATCAGTGGGAGGAATAGTGCCCCATCATTGGTGTCAGTGGGAGGAATAGTGCCCCATCATTGGTGTCAGTGGGAGGAATAGTGCCCCATCATTGGAATCAGTGGGAGGAATAGTGCCCCATCATTGGAATCAGTGGGAGGAATAGTGCCCCATCATTGGTATCAGTGGGAGGAATAGTGTCCCATCATTGGTGTCAGTGGGAGGAATAGTGTCCCATCATTGGTGTCAGTGGGAGGAATAGTGCCCCATCATTGGTATCAGTGGGAGGAATAGTGCCCCATCATTGGTGTCAGTGGGAGGAATAGTGCCCCATCATTGGAATCAGTGGGAGGAATAGTGCCCCATCATTGGAATCAGTGGGAGGAATAGTGCCCCATCATTGGTATCAGTGGGAGGAATAGTGCCCCATCATTGGTATCAGTGGGAGGAATAGTGCCCCATCGTTGGTGTCAGTGGGAGGAATAGTGCCCCATCGTTGGTGTCAGTGGGAGGAATAGTGTCCCATCGTTGGTGTCAGTGGGAGGAATAGTGCCCAATCGTTGGTATCAGTGGGAGGAATAGTGTCCCATTGTTGGTGTCAGTGGGAGGAATAGTGCCCCATCGTTGGTGTCAGTGTGGGAGGAATAGTGCCCCATCGTTGGTGTCAGTGTGGGAGGAATAGTGCCCCATCATTGGTGTCAGTGTGGGAGGAATAGTGCCCCATCATTGGTGTCAGTGGGGGGGGGAATAGTGCCCCATCATTGATACTAGTGTGGGGGGGAATTGTGCCCCATCATTGGTGTCAGTGGGGAGGAATAGTGCCCCATCGATGGTGTCAGTGGGGGGAGGAATAGTGCCCCATCGTTGGTGTCAGTGGGGGGAGGAGTAGTTCCCCATCGTTGGTGTCAGTGGGGGGGGGGGAACTAGTGCCCCATCATTGGTGTCAGTGGGAGGAATAGTGCCCCATCATTGGTATTAGTGACACCAATGATGGGGCACTATTCCTCCCACTGACACCAATGATACTTACCTTGCTGACTCCTGCTCCAGCCTGGGCTCGCTCCCTCCCTCTCCCATCTACAGCCAGCATACCTGGCTGCAGCAGCACCATCAGCACGCTACAGACACTTACCTGTCAGCTGTCTTCCTTCTGCGGCTGCTCCCTCACTCGATCTTCTTTGATCTTCGTGCTGCTGCTTGGCTCCTCCTCTCCAAGCTCCACCTCCTCGCCGGTGATTGGCCGCCTGTGTGCCTCTCCTGAGCTACAGTTCCGGCGGCCAATCACTGGTGAGGAGGCGGAGCTGTTGAGTGATCCCGGGGATGTGGCCAGATGACAGGGGCGGCATGTCATCCAGCGCACACATCGCGCTCCAGGGAAATGTGGACGTATCTGCATGTGGGCGGACCCGCCTGGAGACTGATAGAGGAGCGGTGTCTCGGTTCCTAAGACCATCGGAAATATATGTTTTCCGATGGTCTTAGGAGACCCCTGTGAAAGGGTTGTTCGACCCCCAAAGGGGCCCCGACCCCCAGGTTGAGAACCGCTGGCCTAGACAAAGGTGATATCATCCTCCTTGCTTCTAAGGGTCCGACTGCTCTCACTTCTGGGTTTTACCTGAAATAACATGGTTTGACAGTGCTCAGTCTGGAATCCCTTGCAAGAATGAGGCAGCTCACAGATACCACCCCCATGTGCATAGCACCCCTACCCCTATGGGGCAGCATAATGGCTAAGTGGTTGGCACTTCTGCCTAGTCAGGGATGTATTTGACGCAAGGCACACAAGGCATTTGCCTAGGGTGTCATTTTTCAGTGGGGCGGCGCCACCCCTCCAGAGGAAGGGACACTGTTTCTCCTGGGCATATGTTCTGGGCAGCAGAGTGAGGGGAGTGCAGACCCCCCCCATCAACAGAAGGGACTCTGAGTATACAGCATGGACTGAGCTTCACTCAGACGGTGGATGGAGACTTCATCTTTACCCTGCCCGCTAGACAAATGGAGTGCTTCTTCCATTCTAAGAAGACAGGGGTTACCCTGGAGCTGCCCATCATCACCAATACATTCCATCACAGTGTGTGCGAGGTCACAGGACAGCCATGGTGTGTGGAGGGGGGAGCACAGGCGGGGGGGGGGGGGGGGGGGGGCTGGTGGGTGGTGCTTGGTAGGGGTGGGGGCAGGGGCGGACTGACCATTTGGAAACTCGGGCACTGCCCGAGGGCCCGGGGTTGGTAGGAGGCCCCATAAGATGCCCCTGGTACCTTTTTCATAGGCTTTTTTGAGTTTGGGCAAGGACACAGGGGCCCCATGATCCCCTATTGCCCAGGGGCCCCATGAGTTGTCAGTCCGCCCCTGAGTGGGGGGCAATCGGCAGTTTTTTGTGTTATTTAGGGCAGCACAAATTCTAAATACACTACTGCTCCTAGCAGCACTAGAATTATCGGCTTGAATACCAACCACGGCACAACCTGCCTGGAGTTTGTATATTCTCCCTGTGCCTGCGCAGGTTTCCTCCCACACTCCAAAGACCTGCTAGTAGGTTCATTGGCTCCTATCTAACTTGGCCCTAGTATGTGTATGAATGAATGTGAGTTAGGGACCTTAGATTGTAAACTCCTTGAGGGTTAGGGACTGATGTGAATGTACAATATATGTGTAAAGTGCTGCGTAAAATCGACATATATAGAAATACCTGTAATAAATAAATAAAATAAGTACTCATTCCCCAAAAAATTTAAACAAAGGGGTGGGATCTAGTGGGTGATGCCATTGACCAAATATGGATATGCTCAAAATTTGGTAAATGAGGTCACATCACCATTGATCATGCCCATATTTGAGCAATGACATCACACAAGACCCCTTTCCCTTGTATATGTTGGGAATGCAACAGCATGTACTATATACAGTATTGTGTGTTAATATCACTTGACCAGTAGATGGCACTGTACACTAAGGTTACCAGTTGTGCATATCTGTAAACTTGTTGGTTCTCTCTCTTCTCTCTCTTCAAAACCAAGATGTCTGCTGTTACAGTTTGCTGAAATGTGTTGTATGTTTTCAACTTAAGCCACACAAGTAAACCAAGTTCTGCCTCATCACAAGCTACTAGTGTCTTCTCTAACACATAACCAACAGTATATATCACCTTTTTTCCATTGGACCTATCGTTTGGCGGGTCAGTGGGTGTTGGGCCAGGGTTGTAGGGCAGAGGCCATTGTCTTCATCAACTTCTCCCACACCAAGGCACCCACCATTTTGAGGGCACGTGGCCTTGTATGGATTAGGAAGGGGCTGCATCCTCATCCCCTCCTTTCCTGGCTTGCTAGGCTACATGCTTGGATACAGGGCTGATATAGATTTTTATAGTGGGGGGAGGGGGGAACAACACTTTTTTGTCTTGATTGTTGAGTTGTGTCCATACCAGACCAGAAACAAACTGGTATACATATTTAGGGGGACTTCATACCACTTTTTTCCTTGTTTTGTTTTTTTTTGTGTTGGGTTCTCCTTCAAAACCAGTGATGCAACCAGCCCCACGTATGGTTAACCTTTTAATTCATACCAGACCCTTTAGGTCTGGTATGAATACCAGAGTGGTAACCCTATGCAATTTTTTTAACTGAAAATCAAAAAAAGTAGCAAGCGTTTGGGGGTTGGAGCAGCTAGTACAAAGTACGGAGTAACAAACACAATGTACAAAATCAATCAATCAGGCGTATCCCCGAGGATGTGTCTGAGCACAAAACGCGTTGGGTGGAGCCTTACGAGCTGACGTCACGCCGCCGTTTCCAAATCCCAGATAGGTGTCCATCTTAGTAAGTTTGGCCGCAATTGTTTGTTTGTTTTTCGTGGGAAGATAGTTTGGTTTTAATGCTGCAAATTTAAATCCACTGCTTCATTAAAACACTCCTATTGCTGAATGCTCCAATAATGGGACATATAACATTTGCATATATGCTCCTCTACCTCACCAAGACTCCATTGTCTCTTCATGGCTCCTCTGCCTAACCAAGGCTCTGGCTGCTTTCTCTCACCAAGGCTTCTTTGTTTCTTTTAGTATCTTCTGCATCATGAAGGTTCTCTGCCTCACCAAGGCTTCAAGGCTCCTCTGCTTCCCCAAAGCTCCTCTTCCTCATCTTGACACCTCTTTCTTGTTCATCCCCACTCTCAGCTCTGAGCATACCAACACTGGAACATACACAATATTGCCAAAAGTTTTGGGCCTCCTTCCTTTGCACGAACATGACCTTTAATGTCCTCCCAGTCTTAGTCCGTAGGGTTAAATATTGAGTTGGCCCCGCCCTTTCCACACACATGACCTTTAATGGCCTCCCAGTCTTAGTCCGTAGGGTTCAATATTGAGTTGGCCCCGCCCTTTCCACACACATGACCTTTAATGGCCTCCCAGTCTTAGTCCTTAGGGTTCAATATTGAGTTGGCCCCGCCCTTTCCACACACATGACCTTTAATGGCCCCCCAGTCTTAGTCCGTAGGGTTCAATATTGAGTTGGCCCCGCCCTTTGCAACTATAACAGCTTCAACTCTTCTGGGAAGGCCGTCCACAAGGTTTAGGAGTGTGTCTATGGGAAGGTTGGACCATTCTTCCAGAAGCATATTTGTCAGGTCAGGCACTGGTGGCAGAAGAGAAGGCCTGGCTCGCAGTCTCCGCTCTAATTCATCCCAAAGGTTCTTTGTGCAAGCCAGCCAAGTTCCTCCACCCCAAAATCACTCATCCATGTCTTTATGGGCATTGCTTTATGCACTAGTGTGCAGTTATGTTGGAACAGGAAGGGGCCATCCCCAAACTCTTCCCACAAAGTTGGGAGCATGAAATTGTCCAAAATGTCTTGGTATACTGATGCCTTAAGAGTTCCCTTCAGTGGAACTATGGGGCCAAGCTCAACCCCTGAAAAACAACCCCCACCATAATCCCTCCTCTACCAAACTTTACACTTGGCACCATGCAGTTAGACAAGTACTGTTATCCTAGCAACCACTAAACCCAATATGTCCATCAGATTGCCAGAGAAGCGTGATTAGTCACTCCAGAGAACACATCTCCACTGCTCTAGAGTCCAGTGGTGGCGTGCTTTACACCACGACATCCGACGCTTTGCATTGCACTTGGTGATGTAAGGCTTGGATACAGATTCTCGGCCATGGAAACCCATTCCATGAAGCTCTATACGCACTGTTGTTGGGCTCATCTGAAGGCCACACCAAGTTTGGAGGTCTTTAGCTATTGACTCTGCAGACAGTTGGCGACTTCTGCGCACTGTGCGCTTCAGCATGCGCTGACCCCGCCCTGTCATGTGATATGGCCTACCACTTGGTGGCTGAGTGGCTGTTGTTCCCAGTTGCTTCCACTTTGTTATAATCCCACTAACAGATGAGTTCCTCTGCCTCACCAAAGCTTTTCCTTTCTCTTCAATGCTCCTTTGACTTATCAAAGCTCCTTAGCTTTACAAAGGCTCCTCTTCCAGGCTTCTCTGCCTCATCAGAGGTTTTCTTCCTTATCAAGACTCTTTTCTGTCACTTCACAGTTCCTCCTCCTTCTTGGCCTCATGGCCTCATCATAGGCGTCACCAAAACACGTGTCTCTTTAAAACTCCACTGCTTCCCCAATGCTTCAGCATCTCATTTAAGCACCTTTAGTGTGAAAATATGTTCCTCTGGCTCACCAAGACTCCTTTGTCTCTTCATGGCTCTTCTGCCTCACCAAGGCTTCTTTTTTTCTTTAAAGTTCTTCTGCCTCACCAATGTTACATAGTTACATAGTTAGTCTGGCTGAAAATGACAAAAGTCCATGAGTTCAACCATTAAAAAAAAAAAAGTTATAACCCTACATCCACAGTTGATCCAGAGGAAGGAAAAATGACCCAGCAAAGCACAATCCAATTTGCTCCTGCAGGGGAAAAAAATCCTTCCTGATCCCCTGAGAGGCAATTGGATATTCCCTGGATCAACTTTCCTGCCAACTGGATCAAGGTCCTCTGCCTCACCAAGGCTCCTGTGTATTTTCAAGGTTCCTTTGCCTCATTTTGCCCCTTTTTTTTGTTCATTCTCACTCTCTTTCATGAGCACACCAACACTGAGATATATGCATATACCTGTATGTGCATGGTGGCTAAATTGTTAGCACTCCCACCTGGAAGGACTGGGGTTGTTGGTTTGAATCTCAACCACAGCACCACCTGCTGGGAGTTTGAATGTTCTCCCTGTGCTTGTGTGGGTTTCCTCCCACACTCCAAAGACATGCTGGTAGGTTAATTGGCACTAGCATGTGTATGTATGAATGTGAGTTAGGGGCCTTAGATTGTACGCCCCTGTTAGGGACTGATGTGAATGTACAATTATATAAAGCACTGTGTAAATTGAGGGGGCTGTATAAGTACCTGAAATAAATACATATATACTTTTTCTGCCTCACCAGGGTTCTATCTCTTCAAGGCTCCTCTGCATCACCAATATGTCATTCTCTTTTCACTGCTCCTTTGCCTCACCAATGCTTCTCTGCTTCACAAAGGCTCCTGTTCCTCATCAAGGCTCCTGGTCCTCATCAAGGCTCCTGGTCCTCATCAAGGATCTTCTTCCTCATCAAAGCTCCTGGTCCTCATCAAGGCTCCTGGTCCTCATCAAGGCTCCTGGTCCTCATCAAGGCTCCTGGTCCTCATCAAGGCTCCTCTTCCTCATCAAGGCTCCTCTTCCTCATCAAGGCTCCTGTTCCTCATCAAGGCTCCTGTTCCTCATCAAGGCTCCTGTTCCTCATCAAGGCTCCTGTTCCTCATCAAGGCTCCTCTTTCTCATCAAGGCTCCTCTTTCTCATCAAGGCTCCTGTTCCTCATCAAGGCTCCTGTTCCTCATCAAGGCTCCTCTTTCTCATCAAGGCTCCTCTTTCTCATCAAGGCTCCTCTTTCTCATCAAGGCTCCTCTTCCTCATCAAGGCTTCTCTTCCTCCTGAAGACATCTCTGTCTCTTCAATGTTCGTCTGCCTCACCAAGGTTTCTGTCTCTTCAAGGTTTCCCTGCTTTCTTGTCCATTTCCACTCTTTGTTTCTCTGAATGACCCAACAAAGGACATATATGCAAAATTACATCAATCGAGAACATGTTTACCTGGGAGTACCCTATACCTCCCTGTGGCGCATACAAATCAGCATCCCAGACTTTGCAACACACAGCTTTCAGTTTCTCCATGTACATGGACCATATACCAGAAATTACACAATGGTAGCTACTGGACCAGTTAAAGATTTATATAGAGAGAGGACAATCCATCTTTTCAGCTGGGTACTGCTAGGAGAGTGGAGGTGAAGAGCAGGGGTGACTGAACATCACATATGAGCAGTGGCTT